ACTTGCGCCGACATGGGCGCGCCAGTAGCCCGCGCGAAGTCGCGCGCAAGCGCCCTGGTTTCCAAATTAGCGTGCCGCGCCGGCGGCTCGCGTGAGCCAGTTTGTAAGGTCGCTGTGCCATCTCGCGGAAAACCCGTTTTTTGTTTTCGTTCATTTGGCAAGCGGAGGAAAACGTATGCGTGGCAGCGGGCTCTCGGTGCTCGTTTGTCCCTCTCGCGGCCTCTTGGCCCGCCATCCGCCACGGCTCGCTTGCGCGCGTTTGCAGTCGGGAACTTCTGGACACCGAGGCACTGCCTGGCCGTAGGGTGATGGGCCGCCGGTGCAAAAAGCTTGTGACCATGCGCGCGTGCGGATGGTCGGCTGGCGGGTCCTGCGTCGCATTCGGTTTCAATCGGCCCGGCGGGCCGCGTGCCCGCACTCGCCCGTTGCTCGTCTCTTGGAGCCACTTAGGGGTCGAGGTGGCCCAGCACCGGGTCCGGCCAGCAGGAAGGGGAGGGAGATTCGAGAGTCTGGGTTCGAGAAGGTGTTTTACTTCTTTCGGCCTTTGGGGGCCGTCTTTCGGGCCTCGGGACTGTCAGGAACGGATACGTAGCGAAAATTGCACCAGATGGACCCCAAGAGGGGTCCAGGGACCGATTTTGACCGGATTTGGCCTCATCCCCCCCCTGACAGATTTTCTGGGATCCCAGCCAGTTCAGGCAGTTTGCGTCGGTTGCCTTGCCCTCTTCGAAAAACAGGAAGCGGCGTAAATATAGTTTCTCGGAGGTCCGTGCGAATTTCTTGGATCGGCGCTGGGCCCTTCTGGCGGCACCCTTGGCGTCGCCGCTGACGCGCTCCGCGCGCCAGGGAGGGGGGCCCAGCGCCAATCCAAGAAATCTACGCGAACCTCAGAGGAGACATGCTTACGTCGCTTGTCGCCCCTCTATCCCTGTCAGGCTGTCGCAACTCTGCCTCCAGCACGAACCAGGTCACGCACCTGTCGTGGGCCCCAGGCGTCCTCCGCGCGCTCAACACAGCGCGGAGCGCGATCTAGGATGGCCTGAGTGCCTCGACGAGGCGCCAGGGGCGGCAGGCGTCGAGGCGTCGCGTCGGCCGGCGAGCTGGAGGCCCTCCTGGTGACGAGCACCGCCGAGCACGTGCCGCGTCCTGCTCAGGGCAGCGGCTCGGGAGCCTCTGGGAGTGAGCGGGCTCGGCTCTGGTCCGAGGCAGGAATTCATACATGGCCACCGCCTGGAGGATCAATTTTCCTGGACCTCGGCAGGCGGTGGATATGGACAGATTCGGACCCCCGGGGGCCTATCTATCTATCTATCTATATATATATATATATATATATATATATATATGTCCACCGCCCGCTGGGGCACCAGGACGTCGGTTCCCAGGCAGTGGATATGGATAAATCCCCGCCTCGCATCTGGCGTCTGCGCCTTGCTGTGAAAGGCGCTTAGGGGCAGTCCGGGCGCGTCGACGCGAAGGAGCTCCGGCCGCGTCAGGAGGGGGCGATCGAGGCAACGCGGGCGTCCATCCATGCATTCCAGCGCTCAGGGCAGATCGGGATCAATTTGGGTTCCAGCCACTCTGGCTCAATTTTTTTGGAAGTGTGCGCCTCAGCCTCCATCCGCATGGCCTTGGCAGAACCCCACAGTCGCCCAAAGAGTGTTGGCGCAGATCTGCTGGTCGGGCCCGGCTGGCTGGAGAGCCTGCTCGCGAACACCGAAACCACCAGCCCGCCGCACGTGGTGCTCGAAGTCTTTTATATCCCCCGGCCTGGTGACGCAGGCGCCGACTCGCAGTGCGAGTCCGAGGAGTGCGTCCCTGGCGCCGTGTCCGTGCACCCCAGCTGATGGGCCTGCTTTCCACCACCAACACCACCACCATAAGTTGGAAGGGGGAAGGAAGTGGAGGAGGAGGAGGAGGAGGACGAGGAAGAGGAGGAGGAGGAGGCGGAGGAGGAGGCGGAGGAGGAGGACCCCCTCCCCCTCCAACTCATGGTGGTGATGGTGGAAAACAGGCCCATCACCAGCTACTTCGAGGCGGAGTGGGACGCCGACAGGTATTACCCGAATTACTCGTGCGCGCGGGACGGCAACCTGCTGCCCGACGAGCGGCTCTGCGCCGCCCTCGCCGGCCTCGGCATCTGCGAGGGCTCGCTCGTCCCGAGGGCCCCCAGGGCGAGTGCTGGCCCGTGTGTGCTCGCCCCGCGCAGCTCCGCCGATGGCAAGCAGCCTGGGCTGACCCCTACCACGCCGCCCGCGTCGCATCGAGGGGCTTCGGTGGACGGGCACGCGTCGGCGCTGGCAAGCGCTCTGAGGGCCAGCGGTGGTCGTGGTCTACGGCAAGGGCGGCGACGCGTCGCCCATGTTCGCCTGCCGCGCGGTCTGGGCGCTGATGTACGCGGGCGTCCAGGACGTGCGCCTGCTCGACGGCGGCATGGCCGCCTGGCGGCGGCACGGCGGCCGCACGGCCGCGCTGCCGAGACCGCCCGTGGCGGCGCCGAGGTTCGGCGCGGCAGTGGCGTGCCGGCGGCAGTTCCTGGCCACGACGGAGGACGTCGCCGCCATCTCCGTGGGCAGCTCGCCCGGTCAGCTGCTCGACGTGCGGCGGCCTGGGGAGTTCGACGGCAGCTTCACCGGGGCCTACACGTTCTTTCACCGGGCCGGGCACATCCCAGGCGCACGGTATTTCGGAGGTTGCCGGAGGCGGCCCTGACCCAGACATGCTCACCATCGTGCCCCTGCAGGGGGCCACCACCGGGCCCCAGGACCATCAACGACGACTCGGGATGAAAGCCGGTCCCGGGGAAAGGGTCCAAACCGTGCAAGCTATGAAAAACGCACAACGTCGTGGGCCTGTGGACGGTGTCCACAGTTTTTCGGTTTAGTTCTGGAACACCCCGGAGGCCCCGGGGCCTCGTGATTGGATGCTCTGGGAGGCCATCTGGATTCCCTGGAAGAAATTGGGTCATCTCGGGCCAGGCCCACCTCTGGCAGCACCCGGTTATCTGGCGAATTGGGACGAGTTCGTGGATCTTGGGAGCGGCAAGCTTCGCGACCTCGAGTCCGTCCGCAAGTGGTGGAGCTCCATCGGGCTGACCGACTCGCCAGGCCCCCTCGTCTTCTATTGCGGCACGGGCTGGCGCTCGACCATTGCGTTTGTCCTGGCCTACATGCTGGGGCTCGATGCAAGGAACTATGACGACAGTTTTTATGGTTGGTGTGAGGCTGAGCGCCCAGTGAACGGCACCTCTGTGCAGAAGGATGGCGATGTCGCAGGCGGAGACGGCACAGCACCGGAGCGGAGACCGCCCCTGTGTCATTGAAGCGATCGTTCGGTTTGGCCCGTGCTGGTTGGACGAGGCGAGGAACAACGTGTCGCCCCTGGCGCACCCCCCGCGCCAGTGATACGATTTACACGTCCTACAGGCGTTCGCCACATCCGCCGACCCCTTTGAATTAGTCCCCCCCGCGCCAGCGATACGATTTGTACGATTGACCTGCAGCGCCACTGATACGATTTTAAATGACGTCGTATCGACCCGCGTTCCCGTGGCTATTATTTGCTTCAATTCAGTGTGTTCTCTCTGCTGCTTCGTCTTCTCCTCCTCCTCCTCCTCCTTCTCCTCCTCCTCCTCCTTAGGATTCAGGTCGCGCCACAGGGTTGGAACGACGCAGGCTTGTCCTTCTCCTCCTCCTTCTCCTCCTCCTCTTGCCTCCCGGTGTGAACGTTGCGGGGACGCGCATGTCAATGTCCAGCGTCCCTGGGTCAAAATTGTTTTTTTCTCACGTTTCCTCCCACTTTTGGGCCTGCTGTCGCAAAGTGACCGACTACACAAGCAATCCTTCGCAGGGAAACAATTCGACGTGGTTGGACGCTTCATATCCCCTCGTGGGCATGACGTTTGATGTAAAACAGTGGCTTGACGATTGACGATTGCGTTGCCGAGCTCGTCATCACGGAGTTGTGTCCGATCCCGATCCCCACGGATCTCCGTCCAAAATCATTTGTTAGCCAGCATGTCTTCTTAAGTGCGTGTAGGCAATGTGGTGACAGCTAATGTCGTGTAACCTATGTGGTGTGAGCTACGGAGGCGAAAGCTATGCGGTGCAAGCCAGGTGCTGCAAGCTTCGTCAGTGGTGCAAGTTGTGTGATGCAAGCGATGTGATGTGAGCTGCGCTGCTTCAGCTATGTGGTGCAAGCTGCGTGGTGCACGATCCTCGTCGTCCTCGTCCTCCTCCTCCTCCCCCTCCCCCTCCTCCCCGTCCTCCTCCTCCTCCTCCTCCTCCTCCTCCTCCTCCTCCTCCTCCTCCTCCTCCTCCTCCTCCTCCTCCTCCTCCTCCTCCTCCTGGTGAGAACCGTGTCGTGCCAGCGCAGAGCACGTGGCGCCCACGGGGCGGCGCCGGCGGCATACCCCCGCGGCGCGGAGCGCCCACGGGGCGGCACGCGAGGCAGCGCGGCGAGAGCCCCCCCACAGCGCGGGGCGCCCCACGAGGCGGCGTGTGCGGCAGCGCGGCCGGCAGACACTCGGGGAGGAGAAGAAGCACACAGACACAATTCTTTGTCGAGTCCCAGGAAGATGTGGGAAACTAGGGGGGGAGTGGGGGGGGAAGACGAAGCCCCAGAAAATACGGGAAAATATTGGGTATCCTGTTATTTGTGTGTATGTTTGTTTGTGTGTCCTGGGGCCCTTCAGAAATTCAGAATACCCCCCAAGCGCGGGCAGCCATCGAGGCGTCACGCGGCTACAACTTGGCGACAACCCATCACACCCATCCAATCCCATTCGGTGCCCTCAGAAAGCCAAGTGAGAACCCCCGAGTGCGACCAGTGCTTGGGGAGCAAGCAAAGAACAGCTTGTCACCCTCGGCCCGTTCAGCACACGTACAAATAGTCCAGAGCGTACGATACATGATGTGTCATCTTCTCTGCCTCCGCCTCTACCTCGCCACCTCCTCAATTTCTCCTCGCCCTCATCGTTCTCCCGCCCCCTCCGTGATCAGCCACTGTGGGTCAAGGTTTCTGTGGGCTCGAGTTGCACCGGCGCAGGCTTCCTCGTGGAAGGCCCGCAGGCGTCTCAGCTCGACTTGTTTTCCTCTGCACGTCCAATGGCACGCGGGTCCGCGATCCTGCTCGTCCTGGCCCTGGCGGCAGAGGCCGCAGAGGCAGTCACCACCGAGACGACCACCGCGAGTGCATACAGCGAGTCGTGGGTCTGTGACCAGTGTTGCTGGAACTCAGAGGACGACGAGCCTTTCCCGCACAACCCAGACTACATGGACTGCATGTCGATCTACGGCCACCGCGAGTGGAAGGACGGCCTGTGGATCCCGGAAGGCGGCGAGTGCCCCACATGTACGTCTTTTTGTGGTTGCAGGTGGTGCGGGGCAGATGAGGGATGCGTCTCAGAACAGAGATCGACGGATGCGAACATCTATTTCTCGGTACCTGCATTTGTCGTGTTGTTCCGGGAGAGTCTCGAGGTTGTCTTGGTTTTGGTCATCATGCTGCAGTTCTTGAAGAAGAGCCAGGCAAACGGGACCATCACGGATGAGCAACACACAACGTTTCGGCGTGAAGTGTACGTTGGAGCCAGTATTGGGTTCCTTGCGTGCGTTGCGATGGGTGTGGGCATACTTGCTCTGATATCTTTAGCCCTGAGGGACGTCAAAGGCGAGACACACCTAATATTGGAAGGAATATTGATGTTGATCACTTCGTGCATCCTGAGCTTCATGGCAGTGAACTTCTACAAGATGATGTATGCCAAGGAAGCTCACGAAAGAAAGATGACCAAGATCATGGAGCAGACATTGGAAGCTAGCACCGCTGCACAGGACGAAGCTGGACGAACGAGCGCCTCCTTCGCCAAGAAACACACGTTCTTCATGTTTGCATTCATGACTGGGCTGCGGGAAGGTCTGGAGTCGATCCTCTTCCTATCCGCTATCGTGGTTGATGCGAAGGACCTGTCTTCGCTCCCAATTCCCATCATCAGTGCGATCATCCTGGCCAGGATCGTGGGCTGGTGCTTCTTCACAGGGACACAGAGGATGCCTGTGACTCTGTTCATGAAGTTCTCTGCGGTACTCCTGCTGTTCATTGCCGCCGGATTCTTCTCCTCGGCCACGCACAATTTCCAGGAGCTCGGCGTGTTCGGGACGTGGATTCCGAGAGCGGAGCGCCCGTGGCAGAACTCGGGGGTTTTCGACGCCAGGGAGTGTTGCGACGACATGGGGAACAAGTTCTGGGTGTTCATGCGAGCCATGTTCGGCTGGCAGGACCAGCCGACCCCCCTGGAGTTTTTCGCGTACGGCCTCTACTGGGTGCTCGCTCTCGTCCTAGGCGGCCTGCTGCTCCAGAGGGCGAAGAGGCAGCTCGAGAGGATGAAGGAGTCCTGGCGCCAGGCCGACGAGCAGAAGGCCAGAGATGCCGAGACAAACGGCGCAGCCCGGCAGAGCACAGCGCCGCCCCAGTAGAACCCATCCAGCACAACGCCGCGCGTCGTGATGCATCATAGAAGGAGGAGGAGGAGAAGGAGGAGGAGGAGGAGCAGGAGGAGGAGGAGGTGAGCGCAGGCTTCTGCCGCCTGCCTCGCCGGTGCCCGGTGGGGTCGGCGAGTGCGGCGCAGCGCCGTGCGTGGTGGCAGGCCCGTGGGGTGCTCCTCTGGCGGCATGCTTCGCGTGAGTCAGGCGCCCCCTCGCCGAACCTGCCCCTTGGGGGCAACGATAGGGGGGGTAGGCATGTAGGGGGGGGCGTGCATCAAGACACCAGATGCTTTTCGTCAGGGTGTCCTGGGTTTCTTCGCTCCTCGCGCTGCGCGGTGACTTCCCGCAGCCGTTGAAGGAGCTGCTGCGTTCAGGGTGCTCCGGGTTTCCCCTCAGATGTACCTCGCGCGCGGGTTCTCAGGGTTGGGTTTCTTGCGAGGGTTTCTTGCGGCCGCGCCCGCACTGTAGGGGGGGATGCATCGACACCCAATCGCCCAGTGATCGCCGATAGGGGCTCGATAGCCCCAGCCTGCCCAGGAAGGTGCGCATTCTCTATCGGAAGCCTATCGCCGATCTTTCGGCGATGGATCGCCGATTCCAGGTCGTTTATTCCCCCCCTATGCCAGTCCCCCCCGATCGGTGCCCCTCATCCCCGAGCCCGTGGCAGGCAGCGCGCGAAGCGAGGCAGTCTTGAGTCTGCACCTCTCGGCACGCGAGAGGTTGCACGCTGGCCTCGCCGAGATCGTGGCTCAGAGGTGCGCGCTCCCAGCTTCCGCCCCATTGCGCTGTCGAAGCAGGTGTTGGCACACGAGCGTCGCCAGTGCATGCTGCTCCGCTAGAGCTGCAAAGGATGCCGGCTGTGGACTCGCAGCCTAGATTTGTACAGTCAGCTGGCGTTCGCATTGCCATCGTGACACTTGCGCACGCCCCGCCAGGGAGCGTTGAATTTGTGAAGCTTGCGCATGCAGGCCGAACGCAACACCTGTGAGATTTGCGCACGCCCCGCCAGTGGAGCGCAGAATTCGTGAAGATTGTATAGGCCAGACGCGGCCTCCCTAAGATTTGTACATGCTCCGCCAGGGAGCGCTGAAAATTCGTTTACGCACGGGCGAAGAGGCGCAGAGCCCGCCTCTGCGCCGCGGCCGCTGCCGACGGGAGGGGGGAAGCTCGGGGAGAATCGGGTGGAGCCAGGATCACACCAATCCGTTCCAGAGCTTTCCGGACCGCATCTCGCAGCGCTCCGCCGCGCTCTGGACATGGGTGCGGCGCCCGATGCCTCCTGCGGAGCAGCCGGACCACAGGGATCCCCGACCGGTCCATGTCCGATGTTGTTCCGGCCTTGGCCTCGTCTCAAAGCAGGGGCCCCGACGGGGGGCGGAGGAGGAGGAGGAGGAGGAGGAGGAGGAGGAGGAGGAGGAGGAGGAGGAGGAGGAGGAGGGGGAGGAGGGGGACAAGCTAGGTGCGCTCGCGTCATATCTGACATCCTACCCCTCCCTCCCATCCCTTACCTTGGCCTAGATCCCCTCTGTACTCGCACAGTCGGATGTCGAGCAGGGCAATGATCCCGAAAGGGTACGCGATGCATTGTAGAGCACGGCATGGCATGGCGTAGAAGAGCACCGCAAAGCGTAGTATCAACCCAGCATTGCATTGCATGCCATGGCATGGCACGGGAAATGACGCCAGCGCTGCAGCGGGAGCACGATTCGGAACGAGCGGAAGCACGGAAATGAGGCCAGCGCTGTAGCGGGAGCACGATTCGGAACGAGCGGGGCCCGAAAATGAGGCCAGCGCTGCAGCGGGAGCACGATTCGGAACGAGCGGGGCCCGAAAATGAGGCCGGCGCCTCTGCGAGAGCAGCATTTTGGAAACAAATGCAGGCGAAAACCCAACTCCGGGGAATCCTGTGTGTAAAAAACAGCACGCGGGAGGGGGCTAATATTTTCAAACCGTCATCAGGGGAAGAGTGAGAGTAGTATTCATATTGAGTAACTAAGGAGGAGGAGGAGGAGGAGGAGGAGGAGGAGGAAGGAGGAGGAGGAGGAGGAGGAGGAGGAGGAGGAGGAGGAGGAGAGGGAGGAGAGGGAGGAGGGAGGAGGAAGAGGAGGAGGAGAGGAGGAGGAGGAGGAGGAGGAGGAGGAGGAGGAGGAGGAGGAGGCGGAGGAGGAGGAGGAGGAGGAGAGGGAGGCGACGGGGAGGAAGGGCCAGGGGCAGCGTGAAGCTCCTGGCCGAGCCACGAGTGCCCGCGGCCGGCGCCAGCGGCGGCCTCTGCGGCGCCCAAGTATAAGCGCGCCCGTGGGCAGCTCTGCGGCGGCCTCTGCGGCGCCCAGGCGCGCTGAGCGCGCGCTTTTCCGGCGGCGGGGGGAGGGGGAGGAGGAGGAGGAGGAGGAGGAGGAGGAGGAGGAGGAGGAGGAGGAGGAGGAGGAGGAGGAGGAGAAAGAGGAGAAAGAAGAGAAAGAGGAGAAAGAGGAGAAAGAGGAGAAAGAGGAGAAAGAGGAGGAGGATGCGAGCGGTGCCGACCACGTCGCAGCCACGTTTTCGGGGAGGCCGCGGCGGCGGCGGCGCGAGGCAGCGCGAGGCCCCTGGGTCGGAGGCGCCAGAGGCCCGTGAACCTGGCCCCCTGAGCTCGGCGCTCCCTTCGCGGCTCCCCGCGGGCCCGCGGGGCGGAAGTGCAGCGGGTATGTCGTTCATCTCTCGAAGAAGGAACAAAAACCACATAAACATAAACTTTTGGCGCTCCGCGCGGATTTCTTGGATCCGCGCCTTGGGCCCCCTGCGGCGCCTCCGGCGCCGCCCCTGGCGCGCTCTGCGCGCCAGGGGGGGTCCAGCGCGAATCCGAGAAGTCCGCGCGGAGCGCCAAAAGAGTATGTTTGTGTGGTTTTTTCTTCTTCTAATCTCCGAGGTCGTTGCCAGGAGTCACCTCCACATTGATCGAAACAGCGTCAAGACAGAGTCAGACGAGGAAAAAGGTACCGATGCCGCTGCTCGTGCTGGAGAGTCCTCGTCGCCGTGGCTGGATTCTCCTCGAAGTTTGGGTCAGAACGCACCCCGGGGAAGGTCTGGGGAGTGGCGGACGCGCCGTGGGCCCGCTGGGCGAAAGTGCAGCAGGCATTTCGTTCATCGTCGAGGTCGCTGCGGGGAGTCGTCTCCGCATCTCAGCTGCCCAGATGCGCACATGCTGAAACGCAACAGACCTGTGTGTTCAGTCCACGCGTTGAGCTCCGTGTCAACGCGCTACGGATTTCGCGCCGCATGTCGGAACTGTTGAGCTCCACATAGATCGAAACAGCGGCGTACTGAAGGCACGCGTCGGGAACTTTCGGGCAGCGTGTCGGTCCGCCGGTTCTAGGCCATCACGCTTCGGCGCGACACGCGATTCACATCCCAGTCCCCAAGCGTCAACGTCCCGAGCTTTTCCCGACCTCCCGCCCTGCGGAGCGGAGCGACACGCTATCCGCTCGCAGGGTACAGTGGAGGCCCATGCCAAGAAACACCCTGCTTGTTTCCAGGGTGCCCTGGGTTTCTTGGGTTTCGATGGTTTTGCAATGGAAAGCGCGACGCTCCCAGACCAAAATTCAGTGGGCGTCCTGGGGTCTCAGGGTTGGGTTTCTTGTGGAAGGTTTCTTGTGAACTGGCCTCCACCGTGTAGCATGTCGCCGGGGCCACCGCCGCGACACGCCAAGCAAAAGTTCCCGACCGCAGTGGATGGCCCTGGGTGGGCATGGCAGACTCGTGGGGCGCACCTGCCCCGGCTCGCGGCAGGCCGCCCCCGGCTCCTGGTGTGGCACAGGAGCTTCGGCTCTTGCTGCCCCTCCGCGCGCAGGTGTGGCTTGCAGTGCAGCGTCGCACATGGTCTCTCGCTGCCGCAGCGGCGTGCATTGGAGGAGGAAAAGGCACCGATACCTCTACCCTGCCCCCGTTCTCCACTTTTTGGGCCTCCTGAGCGGCCCTCGTCGCCACCGCTGGATTCGCCTCGAAGTCCTTGTCAGAACGCACCCCGGGAGAGGTCCGCGGAGTAGCGGTACCGGTACCTTTTGATTTCCCCAGCAGAGTCGCACATGGTCTCTCGCTACCGCAGCGGCTCGAAAGAAGATGCGCACGTTCTTACCCTGTCAGTATCATCACAACTATCGTCATCTCTCCTCCGCATCCGGATATCGAATCACCAGTCGCTCCCGCGACGAGTCGCATACATCAGGCACACCAAATTAGAAATTGGCCTGCCAACGTCTTTCGATATGATGATCGGTAGCCCAGCGGTGCAGGGATGGAAATTTTGCAGTAGCCCCTTGCGTAGTGACGGTTTCGCAGCCGCGGTCTTCTCGCGCAGAAGCAGCCGACGCAAGGACGGTTTTGTTGCAAGGGCATTTGGGGGCATCCTTTGGTTTTTCGCGGACGTCAGTTTTGCAGCGTTTATGAAAGGATGCGTCCTTCGCTATCCTTCACGGTGTCCGCTCGGCTTTTCCGACGTGTTTTGGCACGCGGGGGTACGAGTGTTGCTTGGTCATGGGCCTTTGTATCTTTGGTTGTTCGATGGTCCTGGCGTTTCCGTTCTTATTTTGACGCGTTCCATGTGCCCTTCACCCAAGTGGCCAATATTTACCATCGGTTTGGGCTGCAGACGGATGATGCCCTCAATCGACAGCAAGTCAAGAAAGTTCATGGGAGCTCTGGGTCCCAACTTCTCTCCAGAGGCCTGGCTCGTAGGGCCGGCATAATCGTTCCATCCTCGAAGGTTGTCCTCACAGATCAGGGGGGCGTGGGGAGTTGGTGTTAGCTGAGTGTCGCCTCGAGCCGCTTCGGAGCCGAAGTGCGCACTGTGAGGGTCCGCGACGACATGCTCTCGCCTCGCCGTCGTCATCGCCTGCCCCAGGAAAATCAAGTGGTGCGTCGAGTAGGCCTTGTGAAACAAGTTGTGCATTGACCAGGTGTTCGATCATGGACCCGTTGCAACGACCCAGGTGTTGCGCAGAAGGCCGCTGGATACCGCCCAAGGCCTCTAATAGAAAGAGGTCCAAGGTCGAAAACGCAAAGCATGGATTGTCTCTCGTCGCCCTCTTTCTCGACTCAGCCCGTCGACATAGCAACGCAACTGGCTCTCTAGAGGGAGGGGGGCGACCGAGCGCGAACGATCTCGGCGAGTGATGATGCGACTAAGCGGGAAGGGAAGAGAAGAAGGAGGTTTGACGCTCTGAGGTGTTGACGTCAGAATAGGATTGCGTCGCTAGACGCGATCGCCTTCGCATCACCAAAGTGTCCATGCAGGATAACGGACAGCGAGGCAGACGGCTGGGTGAGTGAGGGTTTGGCTGGGCAAGAACCGAGACACGGAGAGGGAGGGGCACGGAGCGCCCACAGCAGTGCTCAGAGCGCTGAAAGTTGAAAAACCCGCATCGTTGCCTCCTCCTGGCCAGCTCCGTCGCCGTCGCCGCGTCGCCGTCGTCGTCGTCGTCGTCGGTCGCCGCCGTTACGGCCGCCGCCGCCGCCGCCGTCGCCGTCGCCGTCGCCGTCGCAGTCGTTGGTCAGGGGAGCGCAGGAGATGCGCAGCGCCCCCCATGGCCGCAGGCCCAGTCCCCATCCCGACGACCGACAGGGCGGATTGGGTGGACAGCGCCTGCTCAGAGGCCGCCCGCCGGATGGGGGCGTCCCTGGCGGCGCTGGTGTGATGGGCCAAGTTTCCACCACCAGTACCACAGGTAGGACGGGGGGGAAGGGAAGATGGGGAGGCCGTCCTCCTCCTCCTCCTCCTCCTCCTCCTCCTCCTCCTCCTCCTCCTCCTCCTCCTCCTCCTCCTCCTCTTCCTCTTCCTCCATCCTCTCCTCCTCTTCCTCCTCCTCCTCCTCCTCTTCCTCCTCATCCTCCATCCTCCCCTCCTCCCTCTCCTACCTATGGTAGTGGTGGTGGAACATCGGCCCATCATGGTTGGACACCCCCCCTCCGCACGGGAACGACCTGCAGTCAAACCGCACCAAAGAAAGATGATCCACTTTGCGAGGGTGCCTTCGCATCCTTGCCTCTCTGAGCCCATCCTGGCTCTCAGTCCCCAGCCGTGGGCCGTAGACTTCCGGCTTCGGCCTCGGCTCGGTCTCACCTCAAGGGCTTGGCAACCCTAATTACCGCCCGTCCTTGTGAGATCCGGTCGCGCTGCAGAGCTGGCTAAATGGCCGCAGGCCGTCCCCTCGTGGGCCGTCCGAGCGCTGCAGGGTGCCGCCCTTCTTGATTGGCCTCGGACGGGGCTCGCCCTCGCCCCTGCCCAGGCTTCCTCGGCGGGGCCTGGCCGCCGAGATTCTCGGAGACTCACCCGGCAGCCGATGGGTCGCTGGCGCGGTGCGGTGCGGGAGGAGGAGGAGGAGGAGGAGGAGGAGGAGGAGGAGGAGGATAAGGAGGATGAGAAGGAAGAGGATGAGGAGAAGAAGGAAGGAGGAAGCAG